ATAGAAAACTGCTAATAAGTTAATGATGCCAATTCCATATAAATAGAAAGCTGCTAATAAGTTATTGATGCCAATTCCATATAAATAGAAACTGTTAATACGTTAATGATGCCAATTCCATATAAATAGAAAACTGTTAATACGTTAATGATGCCAATTCTATACAGTATAATATCATAAATGAACATCCAAGGAAACTAAAGGAAGAAGAACTACATTAAGAAATTCCCGAATCATCATATGGTTGGTTGGTTGTTTGTGCTTACAGGACATTCAATTCATAATAGTAAGTGAATCGAGACATCTCCGTTAGTAATAGCTCAATACAAGCACATCTAATGTACGACGAACCGTCTAAAAGCGTAGTGTAATTTGTCTTATCAATAATTCTTTTGTTGTTATTTATCATTTCAAATTGAATACTAATAAAATTATTTGATAGGATAGCATAAGAGAGTCAACAAAATCCTATTGGAAAGATGCCTATATGTATGTCTTAAAATCACGACCTCACAAGGGAATTTCTTTTTAGAAGCGAATTACATTAATTACTTGATTATTAATGACAACTCTGGACATAGATTATGTTGCATGTTCAATACTGACGTTTGGTGATCGAGATATCTATGAAGTATTATATCTAGGGCAAAACGATTTGCAAAAAGAACTACAACTGTAATATAATATTTCATCTCACTTTGATCATTATGACAGGTTCGAATCAATTGGTAAATGAGCGAACTCTCACATTAGGCATAGCATGTATATAAATATATGGAAATATAGGGTTGATTAAGTGGTGATTTGGTAGAATATTAACTAGCCTCATCTTAATAAAGGCTTAACAACTAAACCACCGTTTAATCCTTAAATAGCCTTATCTTAATAAAGCGTTTGACAATTAAAACGCAGTTTAACTCTTGCAACAGAAGTACAAAACGACAGGTCAATTTAATTATTCATTCTATTAAAATTAATATCCGATCAGAGTATGCTACCTACTTAGATCAAAAATTAAAATAAACCTGGTAATAAATATCGCTAACTAATTATACTGCCGTAGCATTCTTGCTTATAAAAATATGAATTCAATGTTTTAGCAGTACGGTATCATCGATTTTAACAATATTTTCGATCATAAATCTAATAATGTCTCACAACATTCGGCCAGCTTAGAAAATTTAGGTTAGTCCTAAATCAATAAAGTAAGCTAACAATGATAAATAATCCTCTAACAAACGTGCAACATGATAAAGCTAAGAATAATGAAGTTGGATAAATGATGAAGTAGATTTTTACAAGTTACCTATAGTAGTATTTGTCATTCCTCATAATTACAGCTTGCGTTATCCGACTGATAATGTGTTGTATCGTTCACTGTTTGAAAAGAGAGTATCTTATGTCTTCAGGTTATTCTTTGTAAATTTTCCTTAAGTTTTCACGACACTTATTCCATAAAAGGGTATTAAAATTGCAATTGAAACCCACCAATGTTGTACCAATACAGGATTTATGGTGCTATTTTTAATTTGCTTGATTAGCATAACGAAGGAACACTGAGAACAAAAGAAATCAATAAATTATAGAATTTCATTATGTTTGGTCAAGATAGAACTGCGAGACACGTTAGTTATTTTTGTGCAAAGTGTCAGTCTAACATATTATATCGTTGTTATTGATTCAGATCTAACGTATTGTGGTTGATCAGGATAGAACTGCGAGACACGTTAGATTTTGTGCATAGTGTCTGTCTAACATATTATGTCGTTGTTAGAGATTCAGATCTAACCTATTGTTAATGTTTAGGATAGAGCTGCGAGACATTTTAGTTTTTTGTGCATTGTGTCTGTCTAACATATTATGTCGTTGTTCTTGATTCAGATCTAACCTATTGTTAATGTTTAGGATAGAGCTGCGTGGCACTTTAGTTTTTTGTGCATTGTGTCTGTCTAACATATTATGTCGTTGATAGAGATTCAGATCTAGCCTATTGTTTATAGTCATTTCAGATCTGCGAGATACATTTGTTTTTCTGTTCATAGTATAAGTCTAACATATAATGTCGTTCTTATTGATTCAGATCTGACATATTGTTTATGGTCAGGATAGAGCTGCGAGAGACCTTAGTTTTTTGTGCAGTATCAGTCGATAATATTATATCGTTGTTATTGATTCAGATCTAACGCATTGTGTTTGGCCAGGATAGAGCTGCGAGACACGTTGATTTTTTTGTGCATACTGTCAGTCTAACATATTATGTCGTTGTTAGAGATTCAGATCTAACCAATTGTTTATGGTCAGGATAGAGATGCGAGAGACCTTAGTTTTTTGTGCAGTATCAGTCGATAATATTATATCGTTGTTAATGATTCAGATCTAACGTTATTATTTATGATCAGGACAGAGCTGCGAGAAACCTTAGTTTTTTTGTGCAGTATCAGTCCGTCATATTAAATCGTTGTTATTGATTCAGATCTAACGTATTGTGTTTGGTCAGGATAAAACAGCGAGACACGTTAGTATTTTTGAGCATAGTG